GGGTCACTCGTTTGTTGGAGCACCACCGCTCCTCTGATTGATTTAAAGCTGTGAATCTTCCCTAATGTTTTATATTATTTGTGTCACGACATGTTTGAATCAGATGCTCGTCGATTTTGGGGGGCATATGGGATTATTGGTATCATCTCAAAGCCTGTTCATTTGCCTTGCTTTTGGGGGAAAAGAAATATCCATCTGTGTTGAATAGAAGTCGAAATATTTGCGATTGAAGGAGGTCAGAGTCGCCTGGTTTCAGAGGTAAAATTAGAGAGAAATGGCCACCAAAGTTTGGGAATTTCCATAACTTGAAAGTCCTTGGAAACTGAAAATTTACATTTTGTGTGTTTTTAATCAATGTTTTTCCGTAAATTTTCACACAGAAATGTGCTTTTAAACGCATATAAAACGTGTTGAGCCAAAAAAAAAAAAGAAAATTACTTTAAAAATTGCCCAACGGTCAGAAAAATGCCAATTTCCTTGATTTCATTTTGGCGAGCGTCTGATGTCTCCTCGATGCCTCACTTTTAGTTTAATTACGTATCTGCTACATACAAACCAGCAATCAATGACCAAAGTAGCCATAAAATCTGCAAATGAAAGGAAGAAATTGAAAAGGAAAAAAAAGCTCATAAGTGAAAGAAAGCATGAAGAGTTTTAGCTGAAAGAGAGAAGGGAAGGAGAGGTCAGAGCGAGTTTCAGAAAGATCAGCTTCATGCTAAAGACTGAGACTTTAGATATAGACGGGTGAGTAAAGCATATGGACACTTGTGAAAAAACAACTCTAAGGTTGAAGACCCGAGGAAGAAAAAGAGAGCAAGTCCCTGTCTTATAGAGTAAAGACAAACTGTCACGACCTTTTACACCGACATTGAGACACGTTGGTAGCCACCTTGTAAAACGGGTTTTATCTCTGTGGAGAACATGGACAGAAGATTATATTCAAAAGAGATATAATATGTTGACCATTTCAGTTGGTGACCCTCAATCCAGACATTCATATTTGATAGATAGATAGATAGATAGATAGATAGATTGGTTGGTTGGTTGGTTGATTGATGGATTGATTGATTGATTTACTTTATGCTCCCATAGACACAATCTAACAAGCGTACTTCGACTATGCCTGTAAGAGCCAGCCTGATTGACAGGGATATACATCCCAGCAGAAAGACTGAGATACTGGGAATATTTTCTCCTCTCTCGTGAATCGATCGTGTGTGCTTCATGTGACAGCCTAACCACTACACCACACGCGCCGGTAGAACCGGTTTTAACCATAAATGTACATACAATCGCCGGTGACAACATTTCATATTCATCAAGAAAAGATTTCTATCTGGAGAAAAAAATTAATCCACAAGGAACAAGAGTTCCTTGTGGTTTAATTTTTACTTGCTTGCTTGCTCTCTCTCTCTCTCTCTCTCTC